AAACCTGCCTTACACATAGATACGAGGTTACTCTGGGCCCCAAGCTCAGACTGTTCTGTCAAGCAAATATTGGTTTTAAATATGATTCTTTACAGAGGTGTTTCCCCACTTTAAATTTTTTTTATTTTTGGGAACCAGGGCTTGAACTTGGGTCCTTGTGTTTGTGAGGCAGGCACCGGAACCACTGAGCTAAATCCCCAGCCCTTCCCCCTTTTTAATCAAAGCAACAAATATTCACCGACCCCTCTGTCTGCCTGTCTGTATGTCCCCAAGCCCAGTTCAAGTCAGAGAGTAAAGTGGTTCAGACCGCAGCCCCGAGGTGGAGCCTGCCTGGTACCAGCTCACAGATTCGGTTATTTCCGAATAGAGTTTCACGCAGGTACAGGATTTAGGTATTTACTCAAGCAATCTATTGTCACTTGCAGGGAAATTTCTGACTGTAATAACCATAATGAGGTAAAATAGGAGGAAAAGGAGGAAATTGTTACTGCCCCTGGCTTATTAACCCTACAAACCCCACTTTTGGAACCCCCACATGAAATTGTTAGTAACATCTATTGAATGTATACTTTGTGCCTCACGTTATTCTTAGGGCTTTTGCTATATTTATTTGATCTTTTTTTTTTTTGAGACAATCTCACTATGTTGAATCTGGCTTTGAACTCACTGTGTTACCTAGGCTGGCCTGAACTCATGGTGATCTTCCTGCCTCAGCCTTCCAAGTGCTGAGATGACAGGCATTTGCTACTTGTCATACTCTATAATATAGATATTATTGTTGTTGCTGTTAGTATTATGATTGTTGTTCTCATTTTAGGAAATGGAGGCACAAAAAGTACAGAAAAATGATCCATTATCACTCAGCTTTGTAAGTAGCTGAACAGGATTATCAAGTTAGACAGTGAACACCGGAAGCCCATGTTCTTTTTTTTTGTTTGTTTCCTGAGACAGGAGACAGGATCTTGCTAGGCAATTCAGGGTGTCCTTGAACTTGCTATGTAGTCCAGGCTGGCTTTGAACACGCTGAGATCCTCCTGCTTAGACCTTCTAAGTGCTGCGACAGGAATGGGCCACCATACTCAGTTAAATCTACACTATTAACCGCTAGGCTAAATTGTTAGGAGACAGAAGAAGGAAGTATGGAGGACTGTGGGCGCAGCCATCTGAGAAGCAGAACCCTGAGGCTAGACCAGGAAGAAGGCATTCACTCTTCCATGCATTTATAAATTTAAGCCCAAGGCTGGAATAGCATTCAAGTGCCTTCCCAGATTCCCTTGCATTTGAACTTGACTGTGAATTGATGTGATGCCTTAGCTGTGGCAGCCATCTGGTGCCCATGAGGTAGTAGACTAAGGGTAGAAAGATAGTCTGCTGAAGATGGCACAGTGGAACAATTTTAATACCCTTTGAAACTACGCGGAATTAACTGCCTCTAGGAACGTTTTATGAGATAATTGAAAATCTTGGTTGTTTATGTGTCTGTGGAGAGGAATAATAGTTAAGAACATGAAGCCGGGCATGGTGGCACATGTCTGTAACCCTAGCACTCAGGAGGCTGAGACAAGAGGATCACCTTGAGTTCTAGGCCAGCATGAGCAACATAATGAGTTCAAGGCCAGCCTGAACTATATAATGAGATCCTGCCTCAAAAAACCAAAACAAACAAAGAAGAAGAGGGAGAAGAATTTGTAGGCCTGGGTTTGTACCCTTGGGCAAGTTATTAATTTGTTCAATGCCCCTATTTTTTCATCTATAAAAAGGAAATAATAAAAGAGCTTTCTCTTAGTGTTACTGCAAGAATTAGATGAACTATGTCTAGTTCTATAGAACTGTGTAGAAAGTAAAATGTCTATGAGTTTTGGGTATCTAAAAAATTGTTATTATTATTATTATTGTGTTTTTGAGACGAGGCTCTCACTAAATAGTTCAGATTGGCCTTGAATTCAATATGTAGCCCAGGTTTGTCCTTGAACTTATGAGATTCTCCTGCCTCAGCCTCCTGAGTGCTGGGACAACAGGCTTGTGCTGTCATGCTCAGCCTTGAAGCTATGCTTTCAGTTCTAGCTGGGCACAGTGGTACATGACTATAATCCAAGTCCTCAGGAGGCTGAGGCATAAGGATCACTCTAAATTCGAGGCCACCCCGGGTTACAAGGTGAGTACAAAGGCAGAGTGAACTATAGAGTGAGATCCTGTCTCAAAAAGAAGAAGAAGAAGGGGAAGGGGAGGGGAAGAGGAGGAGGAGGAGGAGGAAGAAGAGGAGGAGGAGGAAGAGGAGGAGGAGGAAAGTTCTTTGTCTGGGGATGAAGCTTATCTGCGGTAGAGCACTTACCTAGTGTGTGCAAGTCTGTTTATTCAATCCTCAGTACCGGAAAAAAATAAAAATAAAAAGAAAGAAAAGAAAAATAAAGAACTGGGGATGTAGCTCAGAGGCACAGTGCTGCCTGGCAAGTGCAAGGTCCTGAGTTCAATCTCCAGTACCAAAAAAAAAAAAAAAAAAAAAAAAAAAAAAAAAAAAAAAAAGTTTCCAGTGATTAAAGTTACATTTGAAGAGGAATGAAGCAGGAAAGGATAGGAAAGTTTAGGTCTGAGTGCGCAAGAACTTGGAATAGAACAGTAGGGAAAGTTCACTGAGGAGGTGATGTTTAGATACTGACCATGGGGAGATGAGGGAGTGGGCTATTTGGATTTTCAGAAGAGCAAAAGTGGTTTAGGTGGGCTGAGGATTTAGCTCAATGGTGCTGCCACCCGCCTTGCAAACCCAAGGTTTGGAGTTTGATCCCCGGTACCTAAAAAAAAAGTGGTTTTAGGCAAAGGAAACATCAAATGCAAAGTGTCTGAGGCTGGGATGTACATAAGCCTTTTAGACCCAAAGGGCCAGGGGATCTGGGCTACTGTACTGAGAGAAGAAAAGTGGTCTATGAGCTTTTTCTTCGTTTGCTTTTTTTTTTGTACTGGGATTGAACTCAGGACTTCGAGTGACCAGGCAGGTGTGGTGCCACTGAGCTACATCCCTGGGTTGCTTGTTTTTTGAGACAGGATCTCACTATGTAGCCCAGTCTGGCCGTGAACTCACAGCAATCCTCCTGCCTCAGCCTCCTGAGTGCTGAGATCATAGATACTACACCTTGCAAAGTTGATCAGTTGAAAGGAGCAAGGGGAGTGAGAAACTATTCCTTGGGGAGAGACATAAACTGATTTGCTCTATACTAGGACATTCTGTCCTTGTGGAGAACAAACCCGGTGGAAAAGGATAGAGGAGAACAGCAAGGAGAAGACTGAGTAGTCCAGGTAAGGGTGCTGACGGTGGAGCTAGTGTCAAGTTACTTTATCTCGTTTTTTTGCAGTATTGGATTTGCTCTATCACTTGGATTAAATGCAGAGCCTCATGCATTCTGGGCAAGGGTTCTACCACGAAACCACATTCCCAGCGTTTTTTACTTTTTGAGTCTCACTAAATTTCCCAAGCTGGCCTCAAACTTGCCATCCTTGTTTTTCAGGCTCATGAGTACCTGGGATTACAGGAGTCACCATGCTCAGCTCAAATTATTTTATTTCATTTGCACTCAAGATGTTTCATATTGACTCAGTATTATTATTGTTATTGTTTGATTTGTTTTTCTTCCTTTGAGACAGGATGTAGCTATGCAGGTTCAGGTTGGCTGTGAATTCATTATGTAGCCTAGGCTGGCCTCGAACTGGCAGTGAGCCTCCTGCCTCAGCCTCCTATGCGCAGCTCTATTTTTTTTTTTTTTTTTGAGACGGGTCACATCATGTTGCTTAGGCTGGCCTTGAATTCACAATGTAGCCCAGGCTAGTCTTGAAAGATCCTCCTGCTTCAGCCTTCCAAGAGCTGCGATTACAGGCTATACCACCATGCCAGGCTGATTTAGTATTATTACCAAATACAAATACAGTCCATTAAAAAATCCCTCCCATCAAAACAACAACAAAAAATTCCTCTCCAAATTCTTTTAACATTAAAAGATGTTCTGGATCTAACCAAATCTTATTACCGCATTTGGTTTTCATCTATTTTATGCTTTGATATTTTCAAGAGTCCAGGCTAGTTTTGTTTTGGACTATGTCCCATATTCTGGCTTTGTATGGTTATATTCAGGTTAGCTATTACTCTTTAAAAATTTTTATTTTTGGGGTAAGAAAACTATAGAAGTAGCATTATGCTTTCTCCATTGTTTCCTATCCGGAAACAGAAGACAGTTTAACCTATTATCAGTGACGCTAAATTCGATCATCACTCCGTTAAGGTGCTGTTAGCCAAACCTCTCCGTTGTAAAACAAGTTGTTCCCAGGTGTAAATCATAAATATTCCGAGGTATGATATTCAACACTGAATGTCCGGGTTCCCAACAGTCTTTCACCCAGTCAGTGCCTTAGCATCCAAGGACCAGATTCAGGGCTTGTGACCTCGTTCCTCAGTTTTCTCTTCTGAAAATTGACATCGATGATCGTGGTCCTTTAATGGGTGCATGTTGGGAGCATCTGTGCTTGGCACACAAAACACTCCACGAATGTTACACATTACCAGATGAAGGCAAGCATGAAAAAAATTAAGGGCAGGGCGAGGATTGCATTCCAGCTCTTTGGACCTCACAGCGGCGCCCAGATGGTGAGGGCGAGAACCGCCCGCGGGTCCCACGTGGCCACGACATCAGCCGCGGAAGCCCGGCCGAGGTGCTGGA